TGGGGGGGGAGGGGTGGGGGCTGTGTGTGCGTGTGCGTGTGCGTGTGCGTGCGTGAGCATGTGCGTGTGTGTGTGTGTGTGTGTGTGACTTGGATGCACGTCGTCGCGAATTGGGTCAGTGCGAGTCAGATTGAGGGGGGATGGGATTGAAATTGTCCCCCCACTCTGTTTCATGGGATTGAGAAAGAAAGAGGAGGAGGTGGACGAAGAGTAAGACGAAGACGAAGACGAACCTTCAGAAGAAGAAGCAGGCGAAGAAGATAAGGAAGAGGAGGAGAAGGGCAAGGGTAGAGTGAGGGAAAGAGAGAGACAGCACCTTCACCCACCATTGCATATACCCACCTGGCGACACGCATACAAAACGTTTTTTCGGGGGACGACATGGGGAAAACGCCGTGGAAATCGCCCACGCGAAAACCCTTTGACCGTTCTTGGGGACATCCGTGAAAATTGGAGCGATACATTACGTCCAAGTTTACTCAGTAGAAGTATCAACTGGAGATAGGAAAGTAACCTCTTTCTGAATCAATGCCTGTCAGACTCGAGCGGTTGTTCTTGGGATAATTGGTAGAAAGAGCCCACATGCGAGTCATTGGGCCGGTAGTACCAAACGCCTAAACTTTGGGCGGCCGAAACCGAAAAGGTTTTGGCGTGGGCGCCTTCTACCGATTATCCCATGATCCGGTAAGGCCCTTGGAGCGACGCGTGGGCCTGTAGTACCCCACATGCGAGTCATTGGGCCGGTAGCACCAAACGCCTAAACTTTCGGCGGCCAAAACCGAAAAGGTTTTGGCGTGGGCGCCTTCTACCGATTATCCCGTTGTTCTTTGCCTTCGGTGATAAGGAAGGTTTGGTCCTCAGTCGAATGACTGTAAGCTGAACTGGTTGATTTTTTTAATTATTATTATTTATTTATTTTTTGAGCAAAGTAACATTTCATTACAGGCAAAAGTCTGAAGGCCATCCCCTTTTCAAAAGGTAGTTTTTTATTATTATTATTTATTTATTTTTTGAGCAAAGTAACATTTCATTACAAGCAAAAGTCTGAAGGCCATCGCCGGGGACCTCACAATTCAACCCGGAGTAACAGAGGTGGGACCCAAGCCCACCTGAACGGCCCATGCAGGAAAACGGGTCCTGCGTCCCATAGTTGAAACCCTGCTCTCAAAAAGGTAGTCTTTAAGCTCAGTAAAAAAAAGGGGAGGCAAATATTACCCAGGCCTGAGGAAACCTACATAAAAATCTCTTGTTATACTAGGCCATTTCCTCATGATATCCTATAAGCTCTGAGCAAGGCTACTGAATCAACCTTTCATCCAATTAGAAATAACCAGCTTGCCTTCATCCGTAATTGTTGCCCAAGCACTATTTCCTGTCCACGCTTTTCGGAACCAAGAAACACCTCCTCCTGTTCTAAGCTTGGCCCTCTTCCAGTCGGCGAAGATAGTGAGTCTCAACCTTTGCTTAATCATAATCTTTTGTTGTTGAGCCGGCACCTGTTCATGATTGAAGATTGAGGTATTTCTCGCTTTCCAAATTGTTTCCATCACAATTCCTCTGCACACTAGCGCTGCATATCCCCACTGATCGCACCATTTAGCTTCCCCAGGCAGAACAGCATGCAGGATCCAGTCATCGTTCCAATCCCACTTCCGATCTACCCAGGACTCTCACAAAGACTTCCACCATAACCAAATCTTGTCTGTGAGGGGGCAGATTCCCAGCCCCATCTACACCATGTGCACGTTAGACTAAGTTCCATTCCCCTTGAGTGCAGCCACAGTGCAGATGGAGTAAGGCCCATAGATTGAGTCCACATTAAACTCGCCTGCCTCTGGGACGGGAGTTTCCGCAGTAATTTCCATAATCCCTGGTAGTCTGGTGGAGGAGCCTCAGTCCCTTGTATCTTTTGAAATCTGTGCTCAGCTATTATCTGCGGCTTCATCCTCTGCAGACATCGCTGGGCTACCCCAGTTTTCGTAGTATACCAGATCAGTGGTTGCTTATTCTTCCCACTCTCTTCCCATCTGTACAGTAAGGGTTCTACAAGGTAATCTGAAGGGTCGCCCTTCAATAATGTGGCTTGCTTCCTGTTACCTTGTTGGCTTTCCCACACTCTCGCTTCAGGCAGTGTACTTGTGGTAGATACCGACGTCTCCTGTTCAAAGATCAGGGGGGACGCGTCTACTCTGAGTCTGTCTAGTAGGCTCCACTGTTCCACCTTCATACCCTTTCAGTCCAAGGACTTTTAGTACCCTGTTGTTGTCCTCTGGATGTTGTATCAATGAGCCTGAAGCATGTTCAGAGTCTTCTTTAAGTAGGCTATTCCACTGAGGTGGTATGGCTGCCAGAATCGACAGGTAATGCTCCTCTACTCTGTGTAACCTCCGAAGTCTCCTTCTCAGGTCTTGAGGCCCTAGCCACGTCTGTCTGTTCTCATCCCAGATATGACTGATGAGGTAAGCTCCTCTCTCTATCCAAGTTCTCGCAAACTGACCTGGCCCACTAACTGTTGCAAAGGGCTGCCCTGACAGTTGACAGATAGAGACATTATCGAACAGACATTGGTTCAAGATTTCTAGCTTGGTAGTGGGCTCTCTCAGTCTGCCCGGCTTGATTTTATTCCAAGCTTTTAGAATTCCTGCCCATACTCTGGACTGAATTCAACGTTTGGACAGGTTAGTCTGCACAATACAGACCCACACACTCTTGGCATCTGGTAGGGACCACTCCTTCCCTAAGATATACCCAGCAAAAATGATCCATTGTTTTTGTTCAGGTCTAAAAAGCGCCGTAATCAACCATTTTACCAGCAATGCTATGTTCTGATCCCTTGGATCCAGGAGACTCACCCCCGGGATAATTGGTAGAAAGAGCCCACGCCAAAACCTTTTTGGTTTTGGGCGCCCAAAGTTCGGCCGTTTGGTACTACCGGCCCAAACAACTTTCCCCTGGGTGAAAGGCGCCTTCGCACAGTAGCCACATCTCCCTGGGCCTGTTTTTACCGGTTCAAGAATTGAGCGCTGTTTCTGCGCCAGATTCATGAACCGGTAGGGCCCTTCTTTTTCAAAATCGCGTACGTGGGCCTCATTTGATACTTCAGCGTTACCACCGCTGGCCTCTTTTACATCAAAATGAATATGGCGCTGTTATGTGCCAGATTCATGATCCGGTAGGGCCCTTGGAGCGACCCGTGGGCCTGTAGTACCCCACATGCAAGTCATTGGGCCAGTAGTACCAAACGGCTAAACTTTGGGCGGCCAAAACCGAGAAGATTTTGGTGTGGGCGCCTTCTACCGATTATCCCCTCACCCCCCTTTGGGTCGGGGGTAAGCATATTAATTCCCAAGCCGCCTTGATAATAAAACCTTCATGATCTTCAGCAGAGGGCTTCCACTGTTCCACAGGTATCGGGCTGCAGTTCTCTTAATGGCCGAGTAGGTCTTATCTCCCAACCAATGGACCGTCAAGAGGAACCAAAGGATTGCCGCTGTTGTGAGCACAAGAGCGCGCCCAAACAGTGATAGCTTATGGTTTCTTACCCATCCCTGAACTCTTGCGCCAACCTTGTCTTGTAGAATTTTGTCTTGAGTTGCTGCACAATTTGAGAGAGATACTTGCAACCCAAGCAGCCTTTCCGAGCTTTCCACAGCGACCTGTCTAAGACCCCAGTTTACACACAGCGTATAGGGTGCGGGAAGGAGATATACAGATTTATCCCAGTTTATTGTAGCCTCAGATAATACACAGCAGTGCTGTACCCCCGTTCACCGTTCACGGGGGTTGTGAACGGGGGCCGGCCACCGTTCACGTGAAACGTAAACGCCGGTAGTTCACGGAGTTCACGCTGAGCGGGAACTACGTTTTTTTTTTTTTTTTCCGCCTGGTAGGGGTACTTTTTTTTATATAGACGTGTGGGGACTGTAGAGGGGCACCTGCCCATATTTTTTATTTTTTTTTCGATCGGATTTTTTTTTAATTTTTGAAAAAAAAACAAAAAAAAAACAGGCCTACTACGGCCCTGAGATTTTCAGATCGGGTGGCAACGAGCCACGTTGAGTGGAGGAGGGCTCAGGAGACTCTGAGCCGTTGCACGAGAAAGAGAGTGAGACTCTCAGCTGTTGCGCGCGCGCGCGAGAGAGAGAGAGAGAGAGAGAGAGAGAGAGAGAGAGAGAGAGAGAGAGAGAGAGAGAGAGAGGTGCGCGCGCACTGGGGAGTGGAGGGAGGACCCCTCCCCCACCAACCAATCAATCAATCAATCAATCAATCAATCAATCAATCAATCAATCAATCAATCAACCAATCAATCAATCAATCAATCAATCAACCCCCAATTTTTTTTTTATTATTTTTTTTTTTTTTAACACAAATATCCTTTTTTTTTTTTTTTTTTTTCTGATTTGAAGATACGGGGTCCTAGCTGGACCCTGCGCGACCCCGATCGCACCTCGACGCCGACCACCCGAGTTGCGACGTGGCCACCAGGGCCTTGAACGGCCCCCGTGAACGGCCGTTCACAGGAATCGGACCCGGTGAACGCCCGGTCACGTTCAGGTGGCCGGACCCGTTCACGTTCACGGGTCCGGCACTGATACACAGTACTGGTCTAATACTCTCCTTAGTTCTATAAGTGAATTTTGGCTGTTTTCACATGCCACCGTCAAATCGTCGGCAATTACACCCCCTTTCCAATGAATCATGGGGGGAAGGTCCAAGCCTCTGATTCTTGGGTTTCGCCTTATATTGTTGAGCAGTACCTCAAGTTGGATTACAAATAAAAGGGGCGCCAACGGGCACCCGTCTCAAAGAGCATGTTAATTTAAAATCCATAGACAGCCGGCCGTTCACCAACATTGCAAAAGGGGCTTCCACGTACATTGCTTCAAAACATTTTAGAAACTGCGGCCCAAACCCCATTCTACCTATGTGACACCCGGGGCCTAGGCCGCGAGCATTTCAGCCGCCGCCGCGGCCTATGAGGCCCAGTCCGCGGCCTGTCTTTTTAATATATTTCTTTTACCCCAAAAGTAAGTAAAAAACAATATATATATATATAGGTCTAGGGCTTGGAAAACCCTACAATCCTCTATTTTTTATTTTGGAATCCGACTTCGTTTAAGATTTTTTTTTTTAAATAAAAAAAATTCGATTTAAACAAAATATAAAAAAAAAAAAAAAAAAAAAAAGCAGGAATTTTTTTTGCCACTTTTTATCATGAGGGATATGGTCCATGAGTTGTGCTGTATTTTTTTTATAAATGATTTTCGGTTTTTTGTTGGAAAATTAGGTGTTTAAAAAAATGAAGATGCAAAAATTTAAAACAAATCAACAAAAAAAAGGGGCCAGGCTGGGGTTGGTAACTTAATGTGTGTGTCTGTGTCCTCTTGTGTGTGTGAGAGAGAGAGAG